GTGTCAGCTTTCATTCACTCAACTATCACTTTTTCCCTGATTGATTAGTTTGTGCAATGGTTCAGTTTTTCTTTGATTTTGAAGCCTACTTTTTCTCTATAAAAAAGGTTATTCAGTTTCATTTTCAGGCTCGTCTTTTCTTGCATTGGAAAAGAATATTAGCATATGACAGTATTTTACTGTAAAAGTAGGAATTTTGCATTCTTTTGTCGGATCATGCTATTTGTACAGGTTATTTTACACTTTGGGTTATTCGACCCTATCTCCTCCTCTCACATGGGAGTAGGGCCCCCACGTCGTGGTCTCCACGTGGGACCCAACCAAATGTGAGAGGAGGAGTAAGATCGGGTAAACCAAAGTGTAAGCCAACAAGTACAAATAGCTTAATTCGAAAGAGTTGTATACATTGCATTGAGCCCCAATAGAGGAGATTTCGGTCTTTGCTTGCTTTGGAAGGCCAAAATAGGGATGATATTATTGTCGTGACATGGGAATTGAATGAATGCTGTCATTTGTGGTTGGGTCATAAGAGAGTGAGACAGGTCAATAATTGAATAGGATGTGTTTGGTTTATTGCTTGAATTAGATGAATGATTTTTTTCACATCGCATCCCATCTCGACTTTGTTTCGGTTTTGTATCGAACCCATTTGATTGGCAAGTCGATTGACTTGGTCTCTCGCTATTCGCGCATTCATCTCATAGCCCCACTCTTATGTGGTCAAAATTGTCGTCTTCATGTTTTTCAAGTATAAGGTCTAGACCTCACATTTTTGGTTATTTAGAACATTGAGTAAGATAGACGAGGCAACACGTTACTTTTATTGATAGTAATAATTTATTTATTTAAATTAGTATATTTCAGTGTAAGCGTGTCAAGCTTACTCACACGTGTGGAGATCATTGCTGGCGAGCAATTAAATAATTTGTAATGCAGGAACAGATTTTAGGCCATGCAAAAGCAGCTTTGAAAAGAATAATTATCGCTTTTGCTTTAATTTGCTTTTGCTTTTGACAAACACAAAATCTGTTTTAGTATGACTTTGGACCAACTTGTCTTTCACTTTTTGAAGCTTAAAAAGCAAGCTGCTGAGTTATAAATGTCTCGTGAGTCTACAAGAACTGTGGGAACACAGTGGAAAATTCTAGCTCGGATTGGTAGGGTATGATTGGAGGTGTCAATTAGACTGTGTTGATCGACCTGGGTCGATTTTGAAGTGGTCCATTCCAAGCTATCCTTGGCCTGGCACACCCACCCATATTGGTTGTTAGCGTCGGCACAACCTTCTAAAATAAAATACTTATCACCTATTTGGTGTAGCTTAAAATCATGATAAAAATTTAAGTCAAAGTTAAGAATTAATTTTAATTACAAATTTCATGAAATTCACAAATCGCACGTTGCATCAACTTCTATTAAAATCTATTAAGAATAGCTCTAAAAAAATTCTTTAAATATAAGATAATCTCTCTCTCTCTCTCTCTCTCTCTTTCTTTTTAAGTTGAACCTAAAAATTGAGACTCTTTGAATAAATATTTAAAAATAAGGAGTGTGTTTGACTTTTTTAAATTTGGAAAGCCAAATTTACTTTCTATAAAATGTATTCAGAGCATTTCAAATTTCAATAGAAAAAAATAATATAATAATTTGATGGAAAGTTAATGAAAATAAAATATAGGAAAAAAATAATAAATATTTTTTTAGCATTAAATTAAGTATTAAAGATAAAGAGTTCGTAGTAGTACTTAAAAAATTTTGCTTTCTGAATTTATAGATACTCCGTAAATTATAAAATATATTATTTAAAAATAGAGAATATTTTTAAGATGCTCCTCTATCAAATAAGAGTTTATATAGGTGGTGTGGTGACGGTCATACAATTTTTTTGGGATTTTGACAGGTTTTATTTATTTATGGTCCTTTTACAACCATATGGGCCACTTCCACTGTAGTCGGCCATAGCAGGTTTACCTAAAGTCGCTCTGTGAGGAAGGACAACACGATATATTTTGACATTCGTAGACGTGATAAATTTATGTATTTCTCTCATAATTAAAGTCGCATAATACTGTGTAGTCCTTTATTATCCAATAAAGTTGAGATGCATTTTTATTCATTGAACAACGAAGCAGTGAATCCCATTACAACTCATATTGATACTAAGAATCCGTAGTTCTACACAACAATACTCTTTAAAGTTTGTTTTGTGAAAGAAGTATGTGACAAAGAAACCTAAAATCACTAAGTCGGATTCAATAAAAAAACTTTTGAGTATTTCTCTTGCAATATAAAGTTTGGCATGGTAACAAAACTATGAGACAGCTAGAGGAACTATTATGCACAAGGTGGACATAAAATATAACGACGAATTCTAATTCTCTTTATAGATTGTTATACTATACTCGAATATGTTGTAGGTACCATATTTTCTATACATGTGTTCGAACACGCATATAAAAATGCAAAAAGTGGATAATGGGATTTTAGAATAAATTTTATTAATTACCATAATATTTCTTTTATTTGAAAGCAAGTGGGAGTGTATTGAATCATTCAAGGAATTCACTATGAGTAGTGCTACACTTACAGAAAAAATTATACAGATATTTTACAGAATAAACACGGTAGTGTGGCCCATCCTAATAAAATATTTACATGGAATCCACTTTCATGTGACTACCCTGTAGAAGATCTGTGAAATATTCCCGATACACTAGACATTTTCCATTCACTATAGAGAACGCCTGACAAATTCATAACTCTCTTAATTGGACGATAATAATTGGGCCACCTGAAAAGTGAGAGTCGTAAAAGTCTAATTCTAAGTAGCCCAATAGGCTATTTGTTGTGAAACATGATGGGAAGAGTTCACAAATCAAGCTTTAAGTATACATAATTCAAAATTCAGATTACAAATTTTATTAATGCAAAAATCAGGTTTTGATTAATTAATTAAAGATATTTATTAAATAATGATAATAAAGGCGCAATTATATAAATAATGGTCACAGATTCACAACTACAGGTTACATATTTATTTATTGGTCACATGTCATCAAATTAATTGGTCACGAATTTTTTCAAGATCACAAATCAAAATTTTCGTAAGTTACAAATAAAAAAATTATAGATCACAGTCACACATTTTCAAATTTGGTGGTCACAAATTACTTTTTCAATCACAAAATAATCAAATATCAAGGTCACAAATGAATAGTTAGTCACAAAGGTCACAGATGCCAAACGCTCGATCCCGATCCACCACAATACTTGATCACGAACACTAACCCGGCCACAACACCACCACAACCACCACCACTTCAAAGACGAACAAACATAACTAAATAAGTCAACACTAGCCACGGCACTAAACCAAGCAGGTCACCCAACCGTCAGCAATGACGGGGATCGAACAGTAAAAGTATAGCAGGTCGATCAATCGATCGGCGCACCACCGCCATCACCTCTGCCACCATCACCATACCGCACCACTACCACCTGTTGTTCTCACCAAACCGCACTGCTACCTAGATCCACTACACCAGCTCATCCCTACCGTTAGGTGCACTACCGCCACCACCAAACACACCAACGATATCCAACCCACAACCTCACCACAGTATCCACTGCCAACACAATCGCCAATAGAAACCACTACACCCACCAGGACCACAACCACATTCAGAACCACCACGAAACACGCCCAATCATACAGCCCGTCGCCGACACCAGATTTATCACCGTCTCCCCAATCCAAATGCTGCACTTCCAAAGCAGCTTCCAACTTTCATTTCACCACCATCGCCAACCGTTAACCACAATAGTCGCCACCAGTTCACCACCAGATCCGCCACATTAAAAAAAACCCAAAATCGGGCTAGGACATCAGTAGTGTTGCTTCGTCGGTAGAAAAGACCCTAAGCGCCACAAAAACCCCAAAAAGCCCAAGCGCCCTAATGCTATGCTGAGGAGCTCACATCGTCGCTGTACAGGGAGAGCCCTCGCTGCGACGCTGCTCGCACTGGCGATGCCACTTATGTGCTGCAACTGTTGGTACATAGAAAGAGAGGAAGGTGATGTAGGAGTGCTGCTACGCAGTGGCGATGCCGCTTGTGTACTGCAACAGTTGGTCCATAGAGAGAGATGGAGGTGAGGCAAGAGAGAGACGGTGGGGGAAGAAAGTGAATTATGAAGATGAATTAGGGTTATGAAACCTGATTTGTGAATTATGAAAGTTGGTCCCTGATTTTTGAATTCTACTCTTTAAACATTTGGAATTATGCAATTTTCCCAAACATGATTGACAAATTAATTGCGTAACTATACCTGGAAATCTATTTTTAGGTATCTTTGTTTGACCTTTATTATCAATTTATCACAATTTTCAAGGGAAAAAATGGGAAATTTTGTCGAACTCACTGTTAAAACTAGCTCATAAGAGGAAAATGAATAAAGCACATATAAACCCACATTGCAGATTTTTCATAAGCGATGTGTAATATAATTAGATTGCAATATTTAATTCCTCTTTGAGATCGATGTTTACATCGGTCCATTTTTTCGAGTAAGGCATTATTGAACTCTAGCCTTTCCAAGTTACCACGTTAGCGACAAGGGTCTCCAAGAAGAAGAAGAAGTGCCTTATTTGATACAGATTGCAACAATCACTTTGGGTAGAACTAATTTTTGAAAAATTTCATACAAAATAAATTGAATTTTAATAAACTTTATAATAAAGTTAAATGGTACTAATAATTTATATAATGAGAACGAACTAAAATGAAAATATAATTATTCGATCTAGCTTGAGAATATTTACCCTATTCCGGTTGATAAAAGTGGAGTCGGGAGTTTTGTAACTCGAAATCTTGGTACTAAGACATTATAAAAGCCAAACTTGGAAAATTCTTTAAGGTAACAAACGAGGCCTCAATGCACGTAAGATGAGGGAACAAGAAAAGGTATCCTTTTCTTTTCTTGAAGGGGTGCAGAAGTTTCAATACTAAGCAACCTCTATTCATTTCTCCCTCTTTAAATCTCTCTGCAAAAAGCTCATTTTTTATGTTATTATTTCTTTCTTCTGAAAAACTAAGAGAAAGGGCTGGAAATTAAATGTGGCAGAAACATAGCCACAAATTTTCTTTTAGAGAATCTATCAAATCTCTTGAAACTGATATTCAACATGCCAACAACCTGTAAGTTCTTGAATGTGCTGTTTTTGTTGTTCTTCAATGTCCTTCATGGAATAATCTGTAATTCAATATAGACCTGAAAGTTGTGGATTTCACTGCAAATTGTTGTATCTTGAAAATGATTAGAAGTTGTTGCCTGGATTCTACTGTTGAATAAATACCAAATTGTAGTTGGTTGAACAAAATTAGGTGGTGTAGCTAGGGATGACAATCGGGCTCGTTGGCTCGGCCCGAAAAAGCCCGAGTCGGCCCCGCTCGAGGCTTGGAGGCATCGAGCCAAGGCTCGGGCCGATCCCCATTTCTGGAAGCGGGCTTGAGTTGGGCCAGCCCGTTAAAAAAAAAAAAAAAAAGTAGCAAACCTGCTACCTATTGGCAGCAGTTTAGCTGCCAACAGGCAGCTTTATTTGTTGCCTTAATCGGCAACTTTAAGGCAGTTTAGCTATCTATTTGGTGCTAAGAGAGAAAATAAACAAAATAAAATAAAAAAAAAATCTCAGAAAATCAAGTCGGCTTGGCTCGGCCCAGCCTGGTAAGGCCCGAGCTTTAATTTTTTGGCCCAGCTTTTCTTCGGCTCAGCTCGGGCAAAAAAAAGCTCATCTTAAAAAAGTCTGAGCCGGCTCGATTCGGCTCCACTTGGCTTATTGACATCCCTAGGTGGAGCTGGTGACACTCTTATAAAAGCTATAGTTTAGCTCAAATGGTTAAAGAGAGACAAACTAATTTGTCTTCACATTCCCCTAACATGAATGCCAGATTCTTAAACGCCCAACATGTGCACAAATTTTCATAAGCAACGCGGTAGCAAATGTTAAATTCCCAATATTTAACTACTTTGATAGAATGTTGAACCACGTTGTTTAAAAGGTTAAGCCGTTGAAGAGGGGACAAACATATTTCTTTAAATTGCTTAAAAAGGTATACCTCAAGATGGGATTGTTTAGAAGAAGTTATTGTACTTTGATGAATGTTGAATACTGTTTCCAAATATGAGACCCACTTTTGCCAAATTGAAGACTTAGTTCCTATAATTATCTTGTCCAGTCCTTCATTTAAAGTTATTTGGATCTTGCAGGGTAGCTGCTCTCCCCCGAGATTTATCTGGGGATTGTATTCAGATGAAACTATCTTACAGCCCTTTCTCGCCATTCATGCTATTTTTGATAGAATGGATGAACTGGAGTTGTTTAGATACTTTACCGAGTTTCTTAGGCCTTCTTCACATCCTTGTGTACAGGGTATGTAAGCTTTCAAGATTTAAATTTTCCATTTTTACTTTAGTCTTTTATTTATAATTCTAAGTTAATTTTAGCCGCCGTTTGACAAAGCTTTTTGGGATTACAAGTCGGTAGATCTTATGAAATGTGTGACTAAAAAGTGGATAAAATGTGTGATTTCAATGAAATGTATAGTTAAAAATGAAGTTTGACCAACTTATAATCTTAAAAAGGTTTTATCAAATAGGTTATTTTCGTTTTCTAAGTCGATGCCTTTGTACTCTTAGGTATATGTTGATGGAATGCCGACAGCATCTTCAGAAGAAAGAAAAGCTACTGTTCAAGAATTCTACTGTCTGTATCTTGAAAATTCCATTTTCTAGGTCTTGACTTTAAATTTTTTTGATGCTAAGAGACTTATGGAAACTGTTGCAGCTGTTATATTTCCTTCACTGAAGCAACTTGAAGGCAGTTTAATGGAATTGATGGAGGACAATTTGAAGAAACCTGAAATTTTGATCAGTAAAGGAGAGGAAGAAAATGTAAAGTCTCGAATGGATTTTGAGAGAGAGGATGAATGTGGCATATGCATGGAAATGGGCTCGAAGGCTGTATTGCCAAATTGTGGACACTCAATGTGCATTGGTTGTTTTCACGACTGGTAAGGCCCTTCCTCGTATGCGGACAAGTTCATTTTCTATGGTAACAAATTCTTGTTGAGTGCATCATTGGATTGTGTGGGATATAATCATACAGTATTTCATGGGCGGACCCAAGGGAAGTACTTGACCCCTCAACTTTTGATTTTGACCCTTTTTTTTCTTTTTTTTTTTCTAAATAATGTTTGGTATCGATTGAAATCTAAATTTTAATCTAAATCAAAATCAACAATTAATTTTAATAATATATTTCATGGAATCCTTAACTTTTTTAATTTTTTATCAAAATATACTAAAAATCTGATTTTAACATTCACCAAATAAGGGCAAAATCACAATAAATTTGAATTTTTTCTCTTTTCTCTTGCTCTATCTTACATTCTCCATCACACCTTTTATCAAAACTTTAGCTCTTTTAATTTTTTAAAATTTGTCTATAATTTTTCTGCAAATGTATCTAAACTAATTATATCCAATTTAACGTATATTTAACAAATTGTATTTATTTAATTTAATATTGGTTATATGCTTTTTCTTTCGATAACTTGAATTGATTGTTTGTATTAAATACACTATAATTTTTTTAAACATAAATATGCATTTTCTTATGATGATCAAAATATTAATAAAATAATTGTTCGAAATCAAATGAATGAAAATGATGAGCAAAATATTAATGAAGAAATTTTTTTAAATGTATATCTCCGTTTTTCTCGGATTGAGCATAAATCATTCAAAAATCAAGAATGAAGTATTTGATTTGTATAGAGTTTGATTGTGCCCCCTAACTAAAAATTTCTATGTCCGCCCATCCTAATGCTTTGATTGCTGTACATCTTGTGTACACATAATATAGTTGGAATTCGTACATGTACTAGATCAATCTATTATTTATGGTAAATATAAAATTATTAGGGGATTGTTTTCATGTGTACAAGAGAGGTGAGAGAAAAACTTGTGTTCTATTTTCCGCTAGAGTGAAAACCTATAGCTGCGGGTGAACATAACTCTTGAGGATGACCATGATAAATCTATGTATACTTTTCTCATTTTCTAATATTATGTATTAGAACTTAATCGATAGCATGCATATGTTTTTCTCTCAGGTATCTTCGATCCCAGTCGTGCCCATTCTGTCGAGGAAGCTTAGACAAAGTGAGTTCTGAAGATTTGTGGATTCTAACTGGTAACTGTGACATAGTAGATACTGTCAGTCTTGCGAAAGAAAATTTAAGACGCTTCTACATTTATATTGAGAAGTTGCCACTTGTAGTGTCGGACAACAATTTGCTGATGTACAATTATATGATATGAGTTATAACAAATAATAGTTGTTGATCCCTCGTTGTAACATTGTATGTATATACCGTTAACAGTTAGTCACCCCAAAGCTATATATTTTTAGTAAAATCATTTGATAACTAGTATAAACACAGCCGAACTTGTATTTCATAAATGTGTAAATTTAGTATTAGAATTCCTGGTTTTAACTTATGAGGGACTTCATATATGAATATATGGTTAGAATTTTATAAAACTTTAGATTTCGAGAACCTGAAAACCCATTAGATTTTATTGTTAAGATCCTCTAGTCAAATCACCAATAGAATTATTAAATGCAGAACAGGCCTTGATTCATTGGGAATGATTTTTTATTGCTAGATCTTGAATATTGAAGATCAACTGCTATCTCTTGATTTTGACTTCTTAATCTTTATTCATTGTTTCTAGATTTCAAGTTCAAGATCTTTCTCTTCAATAGATTTTCTCTTGATATTCTTATATTGATGAGATGAGACGAGACATAGAATGGGAATCACATATGAATTATGGATCATAACCCTATTTATTGTTCCATATGTATTTCGGCCCATGATGAAATACAACCATAGAGGAATTGGTCTCTACATATATTTTGGCTCATACGTTCTTGAGATGCCCAAAGCCCATAACTTTAATTCTTTATTAAATCACTTTAAATTGGTTTAACTTTAAGATAGCCTTTAATACACACTTAATTACTTAGGTAGGCTCATTTGACAAATCGAACATTTATACCTCATGAGAGCAAATCTTTGCGTGCAATTCTCATAACGTAAAAGATTAGTTTTCTTCTTAGTTTTTGCTTATGATCAGTTTATTTTTAAGGACAAGGGAAATGAGAAACATATATGCTACACTTGTGATTAACTGATGAAAATACACCAAATAGTCAATTCTTGAACGTCATGTATTAGAAAGTTTACTTATAAATAAACAACTAGATTTTACAATAAATAATTTTTTACCAATAAGAGTTGAGAATTAGTAAGTTATTGATAAGGGTATTTTATACGCTTATCTAGACTTATAAAATTGATATATACCTATAAATTCTGCGAACTTCTACTTAATTTAGTGTAATCACATAGGTAAAATCTAAATTTGAACATACTCAGAGCAAAAAGGAAGCTTTTGACCTCAAGTGGAGTTGTTTTGAAGCAATTAATGATAAACTTGATGACACGTGGTTTATGGGAAGCATGAAGAGTGTTATTGGAGGAAATTCACAAGTTTTGAGAGTGAAATTCGATTTGTTGGAAGTTTGGAGAATGATTTGCACACTTTCAAAGCTTGAGGAGAACCAATCTTGAAAACCTCTTGTGAGTTCTGAGAGCAATATTGAACACTTGGACCAAAAAGGAGCAAAATCGTACAAGAAATTTGAAGTAAGGGCCAAAAAGTATAAGAAGAAAGATGGAGGGCGGATTACCTTTGCTTGGAAACCACAGTCAACCAACGATCACTATAGAGGGTTGTTTTCATAGAGGTGACTGCGGTATGCAAACAATGGTCGACACGCGACCCAGCTGAGTCATAATATTTTTCAACTGTTTCTCAATTAGGGTTACTTTGGTCGATTGTGCACACGATTTACAAAACGATTTAAGCACTATATAAAAACCTACTGTAGGTCAAATGAAAGGAGGGAAGATACAGAAAAGAATATAGAATAAGTGGATAGGGTTTTCAAGACTTTGACATAAAGAAGACGGATTCTTGGAGTAAAACTTTCATCTTTATCTCGATTTTTTTCTCTCAACCCCGTGATGTATTGCAATATATTTTTGTGTTTTTCTTCTTTCATGATGAGAAACTAAATCATTAGTTCTGACAAACAATGTAAACTAGATTTGAACATTTGATTTTAATTATCAAGCTTTGCGTAGTTAATTAATTTATGTATTTATTTTACTTTTTTTAATTCTTAAAGTATTTGAACATTGGTTCATGATTTTTGAATTATAATAAATCGAGACCTGAGTTATAAATTCAGACAATATAGTAAAATTTGATAATTGGATAAAATGTATAGATAAATTTTTGTTATTGTTATGGTTATTAATTGAATTATAGGTAATTTAATGCATTTAGTTGAGATTTAATCATATTCACATAGAACTATAGCTACTTAGCTTAACTAAATAGGATTAATTTGAATTCGAGAAAAGTAAAATGATTTAATTTGTAAATTCGATATAGTACAATTTTAGGAATTGAATTTGAGAGGCGAGATTAAAAGTGATAACTATGGTGAAATCATGAGTCATAATACTTTAACTATCATATTTGGTCATTTAATCAAAGTTTCCACAATCCAAGAAAAACGCTTTTTCTTTAATTGCTTTTAATTTCTTAGTTAATATTAGTTTTAACTAAAAAATTTTGCTTGAAATTTTCTTTTCATGAAGTAAATGGTTACAAGAGACATTAAAAAAACGTTTTATATTCATTTTATTACTCTTTTAATTGATATTGTATATTTTTGATTTTATGCAAATATTTCTAAACATAGGGGCATCTCTCACTCGGCAGATGATATTATGATGGGCCTACTCTTTAGATCCACTGTCACAGGCCCAATGATTGAGAGGCTAAACAAATTACAAGAAGAGAAAAATTCGTAACTAAAATGTTAAGTATTACTCATTTCAAAATTAAAAATAAAGGTTTTAAATTTAAAAAATTAGATATTTATTTAAATTTATTTATGAATTAATTAATTAAGTATATATTTTATTAATTAAATATATTAAGATCGTAGATCTATATAATTTGATCACAAATTAACGATTTAGTTAACATATTATTTTTCGGTTACAAATTTAAATTTTTATATGTCACAAATTATTTTAGATCACAATTCAAAATTTGTTTAAGTCACAATTTTATTCATCGGTCACAAATCAAAGATTTATAAACTATAATTTATTATCGGTCACAAATCACAAATATTAAAAGTCACAACTTATCATACAGTCATGAATTATCAAATTATTGGTTACATATTAACAATATTTGAGGTTACACATTATTTATTGATTACAATTTATCATTTTCATTGGTCACATATTATTTATTAGTCACAGATTAACTAATTTAATGGTCATAGTCAACCAAATATTTTGTGGCCACCACCAACACTTGGGACCACCATCTCACCACTACCTTCAGTAGTACTACCACCATCGTCATTGCTAGAATCACAACCTCTCGACAGTAACACCACCACTTCAAACAATTCAACACATCGTAGAAAAATATTACAACATCGTTGCACCAGATCCACCACTATCTCGAGAGACCCATCACCACCAACATCTCACCATTACGAAACCACTGCCACGACCGCCATCGTCATTGTCCTGCCATTGTAAAAATTTATCACAGTCACCACCAACACTCCAACAACCAAAATCAGTGACTTACTGCCATCAACCACTTGTACCACTATTGCACCGTAACCCATCATCACATTCAATGGCGAATCCAACAGCGAAATTCAACAAGGACGGAATCGCAAAACTTGACCTTGACCTGGACCGTTGACCATCAACAGTCATAATAACCCGATCATTTAAGCAAACTGTACAGTCATTTTAAATTTATTTTAGCAAATTGTACCGATATATTATTTATTTTATTTTATTAAAAATATAAGCAGCAAGAAAAAACTTCGATGCTTCTTTTTTCTGAAACTCTTCTTTTCCTTTCACCAAATTTACAATTGCATTGTCGCCTCACAAAGTTCAATGATATTTCCAATTACCAATTATCCAACTTCATGATGGAAATATATGAACAAAATATTCCATTATTTATCTAATCCTCTTTTGAGTTTTGACTTTTGAGTATCACAGATTCACAAAAAAATTAAAAAAACCAAATTAGTCTCTTTATATGTATCCACCTATTCTCTAAACTTTATTGTAACCTCGGTTTCAAACATCCAAAATCCAAATAATCAAGTCATTTTCACTATTATAGACCCTCGAGTAAGCAAGAAATTAAGTAGCCAATCACTTTTAAGTGGAGGCTCTATTCACAAAACCCAAACCCCGAAACCTTCAAAAGCACCGCAAAATTCAAAACCTGAAATCAACAAAACAATACATTACATTGATAGCATAGATTAGACTATTTAAAGACCAAAAAAAAGAGAGAGTTAAAATCTTGTCTATTAGTTCATTGAAAAAATAAGTGAGGTACCTTATTGAACTTGTTCTCAACCAGTGAACATATCCACAACGCCAGAAATCCGTCTTTCAAGATTCCACAAAACTATACAAAGAGATCCATGAATCAAATATAACCCACAAAAAAGAATCAAATTTTGATACTGTTGGAAAGCCCACGATATCCTCTTCAATTACCACCCAAAATCTCATTATAATTCCAAGGGATTCGATCGAAAAATTGCCTTAAAAGTTGCCCAAAAATTTTGAAAATCTGCCCAAATTTTCATATTTTTTGGGCGACTTTTAAGGCAATTTTTCGGCAACTTTCGACCATCAAAACTATCGAATTTTGATACCATTGAAAAGTCCACAATGTCCTCTTCAATTACCATCCAAAATTTTCCCATAACTCCAAAGGATTCGGTCAGAATAAACCCACAAAATCAGCATCTTGAAAAGGCGAAAATCTGGACAAAGTTCGAGACGCTGACTTTGTGGCTTTATTCCGACCGAATCCTTTGGAGTTATCGGGAAATTGTGGGTGGTAATTGAAGAGGACATTGTGGGCTTTCCAATGGTATCAAAATTAGATAATTTTGATGGTCGAAAGTTGCCGAAAATTTGCCTTAAAAGTCGCCCAAAAAATCTAAAAATCTGGGCAGATTTTCAGAATTTTTGGACTTTTAAGGCAATTTTTCGATCGAATCCCTTGGAGTTATAATGAGATTTTGGGTGGTAATTGAAGAGGACATCCTAGGCTTTCCAACGGTATCAAAATTCGACATTCTTTGTGGTCGGAAGTTGTCGAAAATTTGCCGTAAAAGTAGCCCAATTATTTGAAGAGACGAGTGGTGAATGAGTAATTATATGAAAAGATGAGTGAGCATTCAGTAATATGTGAAAGATGAGTGAGCAAGTAGTAATCAAGTGTAAAGTTCAGTGATTATTGGTTAAATTTACTCTATATATATATATATATATATATATATATATATA